GGAGACCCGGGATCGAATCCCACGTCGGGCTCCCGGTGCATGGAGCCTGCTTCTCCCTCTGCCTGTGTCTCTGCCTCTCTCTCTCTCTGTGTGTGTGACTATCATAAATAAATAAACATTTAAAAAAATAAAATAAAAAGTTTTTATTTATTTGTTTGTTTATTTATTTATTTATTTATTTATTTATTTATTTATTTATGTAATCTCTACACCCAACATGGAGCTCAAACTCATGACCAACCCCAAGATCAAGAGTCACATGCTCTTCTGACTGGGCTAGCCAGGAAACCACCCCCCTAATTTTCTTATAGATCACAGTTGTTATATTTTATTTACTTTCTTTTCTTTTTTTTTTAAGATTTTACTTATTTATTTGTGAGAGATACAGAGAGAGAGAGAGAGAGAGGCAGAGACACAGGCAGAGGGAGAAGCAGGCTCCATGCAGGGAGCCCGATGTGGGACTTGATCCCACGACTCCAGGAGCATACCCTGAGCCAAAAGCAGGTGCTAAACCACTGAGCCACCCAGACAACCCAATTTACCTACTTTTCTATTAACTGTGCATAATAGTCTTTTTGGGGGTCTCTCTTCTGATGGTAAATGACCTGACATCCTGTATGTCTGACATCCTGTATGTCTACCCTGTATGTATGTATGTATGTATGTATGTATGTCTACCTGTATGTATGACATCCTGTATGTCTACCCTCCCTCTCATGATAGTTTGACTAGGTATAGAATTCTAGGTTGAAAATATTTTCCTGCCAAATCCAAAGCGACCTTTTCATTGTCTTCTAGATCCCAGTGGTTCTATTGAGGAGTCTAATGTCTTTTTGTTGTTAATCCTCCCATGTGAGACCATTTTATTTTTTTTTCTTGGAGAGGAGGTAGATACTAAAAGCTTTTAGAATCTTCTCCGTATCTCATAATGCTTTAAATTCTCTTAATAATATGTCCTAGTATGGATCTTTCCTCACTGATGGCCTGAACACTTGCTGAGCCCTTTTAGATCAGAAACTTGAGTCTTTCAATTCTGGAGAAATGCCCTAAACAATCTCTTTAATCATTTCCTTCCTACCACGTTTCTGTTCCTTATGGAACTCAGTAGATATTACACCCCCTGGATTGCTTCTTCAAAGAAAAAACAGACATTTATCTTGTCTTTCTCATTTCTTTTTTTTATTTTTATTTATTTTTTAAAGATTTTATTTATTTATTCATGAGAGACAGAGAGAGAGAAAGAGAGAGAGAGAGGCGCAGAGACACAGGCAGAGGGAGAAGCAGGCTCCATGCAAGGAGCCTGATGTGGGACTGGATCCCAGGATCCCAGGATCACACCCTGGGCTGAAGGTGGCACTAAACTGCTGAGCCACCCGGGCTGCCCTCATTTCTTTTTTTTAATTTTTTTTTTTAATTTACAATAGTCATACAGAGAGAGAGAGAGGCAGAGACACAGGCAGAGGGAGAAGCAGGCTCCATGTACCGGGAGCCTGACGTGGGATTCGATCCCGGGTGTCCAGGATCGCGCCCTGGGCCAAAGGCAGGCGCCAAACCGCTGCGCCACCCAGGGATCCCCTAAACATACATTTTGAAAAATGTATAAATGTATCCAACACATCAAGCAGCAGAACTTTACCAACCCCCAGAAGACCCCTTCATACCCCTTCTAGGCAGTATCTCCCTTGGTGGGGGGGGACACTAATGTTAATTCTGACACCATGCTTGTGTTTGAAATCTACATAAATGAAATCACATAGTCTGTGCTCTTTTGCCTGGCCTTTTTTCACTCAGCATTATGCTTGTATGATTCGTCCACACTGCATATAGCTCTAGCTTATTCTTTTTCATTGGTGCGTGATAATTCCATTATCTCAGTATACCACAATTAATTTTCCATTCTACTGTTGATGGGCATTACACAGTTTCCAGTTTGGGACTATTATGAATAGAGATGCTATGAACATTCCAGTAATGTCTTTTGGTGAACATATGTTCACCAAACACACATTTTTGTATGGTATGTGCCCAGAGATGGACTTGCTGGATTACAACACTGATTTAATTGTAGCAGATAGCTGTTAAGCAGCTTTCCAAATTGGTTGTACCAAGTTACACCTCCACCAGTAGTGTACAAAAATTTTGCTTGTTCCACAACTTCACCAGCACTTGGTATTTTCTATCACTTCCATGGTAGCCACTCTGGTAGGCGTGTAATGGTATCTAATATGGTTTTTTGTTTATTTGGTTTTATTTTTTTTTTTGGTTTTTTTTTTTAAACAGCTTTACTCAGATATAACTTAAATGCCGTAAAAATCACTCATCATTAAGTATTCATTTTGATTATGTTCAGGAAATTTATACAGTTGTGCAGCCATCACTGCAGTAAAGTTTTAAAACATTTCATCATCTTGGAAGGTTCTCTAGTACCCATCTGCAGTCATTCCTCCTCCCACGCCAAAACCCAGACAGCCACTGGTGTGCTTTTTATGTGGCTTTACTTCACATTTCCTTGATGACTAATCAGGTTGAGCCCTTTTTCATATGACTACTAGCCATTTGGATGTCCTCTTTTGTGAAGTTTCTGCTCAACTTTTTATGCCAATTTTAACAATTGAGTTGCTTGTCTTTCATTTTGTGTTATAGGAGTTCTTTATATATTCTGTATATGAGAAGTACTTTGTCAGATAAATATATTGTAATTATAGTTTCCTACCCTATATTTTGCCTTTTTGTTCTCTTATTGGTTTATTTTGATTAAAAAAGTTTCTAATTTTAATATAATTTGACTTCTATCTTTAAATATTTTTCTTTTATGATTAATCTTTTGTGTCCTGTTTAAAAAATCGTTTTTATTCCAAGATCACAAAGATGTAGTCCTATTTTTCTCTAAAAGCTTTCTTGTTTCGACTTTCATATTTAGATCTGCAATCCAGTTAGAGTTGATATTTGTGTGTGGTGTGAAGTAGGGGAACAAAACCTGTATTTTTTTTTTCAAAGATTTTATTTATTTATTCATGATAGACACAGAGAGAGAGAGAGAGAGAGAGGCAGAGACACAGGCAGAGGGAGAAGCAGGCTCCGTGCAGGGAGCTCGACGTGGGACTCGATCCCGGGTCTCCAGGATCACGCCCTGGGCGCTTAAACTGCTGAGCCACACAGGCTGCCCTGTATGTTTTTTTTTTTTTTAAATACAGGTATTCAGTGGACCCAGTGGATATCATTTACTGAAAATAGCATCCTTTCCCCAGTGACTATGAGGTCATCTTTGTTCTAAGTCAGGTGAACATAAATGTATGGGTCTTTCTCTTTCAGGTTCCATTGGTCAGTTTGTCTCTCTTCATCGATGCCATGCAGTCTTAATGACTATATCTGATTTTTTTTTTCTTCAAAACACAGCATCCTGTTCTCGTTTTACAAGTATTGCATTTTGTCTCTCAAAGGATTTTGACTGGTTGAACTTTTCTTCCGCTCCCTACTGTCTTTATTTCCTCCCAGCTCTCTTTTCTGTTTGTCTTGATCTCTGTAGTTGCTGCCAACAGCTTTCCTTGCACAAGGGTAATCCCTGCCTGCCCCTTCATATTGAGAGGCTAGGCTCTAGGAAGCCACTGAAAATCCTCAGTGGATGAATGGGGTTTAGCACTTTGGGGGCTTCCTGGGGTGGGGTAAGTGTGTTGTTCTTTGCTGGGGGGGTGGGGTGGTTTTCTCTTTGGCTCATCAGTTTCTCAGCAGCAAACCCTCTGATCTCCAGACTAGGAATAGAAGGCTCACTATCATCGATGTCTTGGGTGACAAGTGGGGAAGATCCAGGGGTGACCCACCTTTCAGAATGTCAGCCTTTGCCTGGTTCACCTGTTTTTAGCACAGTACCTGCCCTCACCCAGCTGTGCCTAGAGTACCAAATGCAGGGGTCCTCTGGCTCACCATCTCCAGAGAGTAAATCTTTGGCTTCTGCCAGCCTGGCTGTCACTTGGCTGCAGGGAGTGGGGGACACCTGCTCTTTTCATACACCTTCTACAGTCCTCATTTCAGCCCACCCTCACTTCTCAGCCAGAGGATCCCAGTCCAAAACCTGTCAGAGAGAGCCACATGCCTGGATGCCTTTGTCTAGATATCTGTTCTTTGTGCCTATTTCCAGAACTCATTAGTGCCTTTACCACAGAACAAGAGAGGGGAAAGAACAAGAGATCCTATCTCTCTCACCATAACTCATTTCCCGTTCATGTTTCTGTGTTCCATCTTCTGAAATGTTGTCAGCATCCCTTACCTGCGGTGGTTCCCACTCTTCTTTGTCCTTTTGGTTTACCCTTTTAGGTCTTTGCTATCAATTTTGGTGGATTTCAGAGGGAGCATGGGCTTGGTCTTCTGTGGGTAACTGGGGTCCCCCTTTGAGCTTTGCACTCCCTGTTCCTTCTCTCTGGAATGTTCTTCATCACTCTTCCCTTTAGTGGCCCATTGCCATCCTTCATGTCTGGGGGCAGTCTGTCACCTCCTCAAGGAAGACTTTCCTGAATGCTTCCTCATGTAGAGTAGCCCCCTGAACCCCAGTTCCATTTCTTCTCATCACCATCATCCGTGGGGTGTCCTTGCCTGAGGGCATGGATGAATGGCCCCATGGAAGCTATTTCCTTTATTACTTTTTTTTTTAAGATTTTATTTTATTTATTCATGAGACACACGCAGAGGCAGAGACACAGGCAGAGGGAGAAGCAGGCTCCATGCAGGGAGCCCGATGCGGGACTCAATTCCAGGATCACAGGATCAAGCCCTGAGCCAAACGCAGACACTCAACTGTTGAGCCACCCAGGCATCCCTGTACAGAAAGTTTTACAGGGGAAAAAGTACTACTTGTCTGGGCAGACTGGAAGGCTGGAGTTGAGGTCTCCTGTCCATGCGGAGCCAGTAGACGAACTTGCCACTGCACAGAAGGCAGGGCTGGAGGCTGAAGCTCCCGGGTCCCTTTGGCCCCTGACCAAGCCTGGCCTCCCCTGCCCCTGCTGCAGACAGACCCAGTGCGGCTGACCCAGCTATATGAGCAGGCTCGGTGGGACTTACTGTTGGAGGAGACCGACTGCACCGAGGAAGAGATGATGGTGTTCGCAGCCCTGCAGGTGCCTGGGGGGGGGGGCAGGGGGGGGTGCAGGTCAAGCCCAGGGTGGTCTCCCAGCCAGGGGGCATCTCCGGGAAGCCCCACTTAGGGCATTGTGGGCTATGGGGCAGCTCACTCAGCCCCCCTGGCCATGTGCCCCTCCCAGTACCACATAAACAAGCTGTCCCAGAGTGGAGAGGTGGGTGAAACTGCTGGCATGGACCTGGGGCTGGACGACCTGGATGCCGCCCTGAACAACCTGGAGGTGAAGCTGGAAGGCTCGGCCTCCACAGATGTGCTGGTGAGGAGGGACGCTAGTCAGGCTTGGGGTCGGGGTCAAGTGCGAACACCTGGTCCCCCTCTAACTCCCCTTCTTGGCAGAACAACCTCACCACCATCCCAGAACTTAAGGACCATCTCCGGATCTTCCGGTGAGTTAGGGCCAGAGTTGGCAGCCCTGCCTGAGGGGCGCAGTGTGGACAGAGAACCCAGGAGAGAGGGAGGCAACTTAACACAGACCTCCTGCCTCGCCTTCAGGCCCCGGAAGCTGACCCTAAAGGGGTATCGCCAACACTGGGTGGTGTTCAAGGAGACCACCCTGTCCTACTACAAGAGCCAGGATGAGGCCCCAGGGGATCCCATTCAGCAGCTCAACCTCAAGGGTGAGTGAAGGTGGCCTGGCAAGGACACGGACAAGGACAGGAGCTGGCTGGGGGCCCATGTGAAAGCTCTCACCTCAGTTTCCCTCTGGGGGGCAGAAGAAGATGTCCTCTGTCCTGAGCTATTGCACTGGGCTGGCCTTCGCCCAGGGATCTCTCAGGCAGGGCCCCCCCACCCTGGCCTACCCACCCCTTCGTCTCCCTCTAGGCTGTGAGGTGGTCCCTGATGTCAACGTCTCAGGCCAGAAGTTCTGCATTAAACTCCTGGTGCCCTCCCCTGAGGGCATGAGCGAAATCTACCTGCGGTGCCAGGATGTAAGTCAGGGCCAGGCTGAGGCTGGATGGGGATGGGAACAGGGGCAGGCGGCTGAACCTGAGCCTGTTCCTCATCCCCCAGGAGAAGCAGTATGCCCGCTGGATGGCCGGCTGCCGACTGGCGTCTAAGGGTCGCACCATGGCGGACAGCAGCTATGCCAGCGAGGTGCAGGCCATTCTGGCCTTCCTCAGCCTGCAGCGGACAGGTGGTGGGGGCTCAGGCAACCACCCCCAAGGCCCTGATGCCTCTGCTGAGGGTCTCAACCCCTATGGCCTTGTTGCACCCCGCTTCCAGCGAAAGTTCAAGGCCAAGCAGGTGCCAAAGGAAGTGGGTGGTGGGAATGACCACAGTGTTTATTTGGCCACCTTTGGCCCTGGATCTCCACAGAGCCTTCCTTTAGAAAGCCATGTGCTCGCTCATTCCTTCTCCTCCCCACGTCCTTAAGACCGAGCACGCTGGTCCCTACCCTCTGGGAGGGGTCATGGTCCACCTCAGGCCTGGCTCAGCTCCTATCTGCTGAGTGGTGAGAGGGTGCACTGTGGTGGCCCCACATGGGGCCCCACCCCTGCTCCAGGCTCAGCATCCTGTCTCCCCAGTGGGGACAGGCAGGAGGTCTCAGGGATTTTGATGGCTCCTCACCAGTGTGGTCCCGCAGCTCACCCCACGGATCCTGGAAGCCCACCAGAACGTGGCTCAGCTTTCGCTGTCTGAGGCCCAGCTGCGCTTCATCCAGGCCTGGCAGTCCTTGCCTGACTTTGGCATCTCCTACGTTGTGGTCAGGTACGGGCCTAGCCTGCTCCACCCTCCTTGTGGCCTGCTGAGGCACCCTGAAGCCTCCCTTCCTGTTCTTTGTGGGCGCTCTGTGGGTACTCAGCCATCCTCTGCCCCTGGCAGCACACACCAGAGTGAGAGATCAGGCCGAGACGGCAGGAGCCCTGGCCCTCCTTGGAGACCAGTCCCTCTGGAGGCTGCAGTTCCCTGCTGTGACAGGGAGCGCCCTCTGCCCATTTCCCAAGCCTGCAAACATAGAGCCAGGCAACAGATGATGAAGATACCAAAGAAAGTTGTTCTTGAAAGGCACGGACAGTTTGCCTGATGTTGTCAAAGGCTATTATAATGATTTTATCAGCTAACACTCATTTTCTAGACGAGGAACCTGAGGCCCAAGGAACCTAGCTGACATGTGCCCAGCTTGCCCCCGGGCACCGTGCCAGGCTATCTGGGTGGGCTCCGGGGCCATGCAGGGCAGGGCTCTTGCTCACACTCTCTCCCCGCCCCACCGGGGCTAGGTTCAAGGGCAGCAAGAAGGATGAGATCCTGGGCATCGCCAACAACAGGCTGATCCGCATTGACCTGGCTGTAGGCGATGTGGTCAAGACCTGGCGCTTCAGCAATATGCGCCAGTGGAATGTCAACTGGGACATCCGACAGGTGGGCTGGGACTCAGGGTGGGATCAGGTTCCCGGGGGCGGGACAGGCGCAGCCAGGGCTGGAAGGGGTGGCGGGGGCTGCTCCCTTATCTCACCTCCTCCAGCCCCTCTGACTGCCCGCTCTGCAGGTGGCCATCGAGTTTGATGAACATATCAACGTGGCTTTCAGCTGTGTGTCCGCCAGCTGCCGCATTGTGCATGAATATATTGGGGGTTACATTTTCCTGTCAACCCGAGAGCGGGCCCGTGGGGAAGAGCTGGACGAGGACCTCTTCCTGCAGCTCACAGGAGGCCATGAGGCCTTCTGAGGCCTGTCTGATTGCCCCCACTTTGCTCACTGCCTGCTATGGCCACTCCTAAGCCCACACTCTCTCCAGACATGTACTGAGCTGGCACATTCACCTGCTGTCACTGGCTTTATGCAGACCAGGGACCTAATTGGGCCAGACTCTGCCATCCCCTAGGCTAGGGAGAGTGGATTATGAGCTCGAACAAGGTCCGCCCTTCCCTTGTCTAAGTGGCCAAGACTAATACCCCTGAGCACACGAGGAAGACCAGCTGTAACTACAGGATGAGGATAATTCATGGTTTCAAACTGGAGCTTCTTTTTTTGTTACCTTTTAACTTTTAACTTTTTTTTTAATAAATATTTTATTGTTGGATTATCCTTCTTCCTCTGGAGCTATGCTTGGGGGCCACTCTGACACTCTGTCTCTTCATTACCAGCCAAGGAGAGGAACTTTCCTGAAATGGAGACAAGAGGTTAGGAACGGGAGACCCATCAGCCTGGGGCTGGGAGCTGGGAAGGAGATGGCAGAGGGCACAGGCTCAGGCACCCCGAATAGGAGTAAGGTGGTGGTTCTCACGAGAAGGGCGGAGCTGCAGGGCCTCCTTGAAATACTTGGGAAGCAGGAAGCCATCAGCATTCCCTGGAGTCAGGATCACTCCATTGGCAGAGCGGAAGAAGGGGATTCCATCTGCAGACAAAGCCAGAGATGTGACTCCTATCCTCTCTGAAGCCCTAGGGCAGTCCTGCTGTGTCCAGACTCACCTGCCAGGGCCAGGGGCCCATCAATCAACACAGCCACTTCACAATTTGGTCGCATGCCTGCAGAGACAATTGGAGCTGGGACCTGGGGCATGTGGAGTTGCAGTCATCAAACCTGGGCAGGCTCAGTGGAAGGTCCTGGGCTCAGGGTGCGGATTGGGTGACTACAGCATGCAGAGCATGGAATGGCCTTAGATGAGAGAAGCTATGATACTTGGAGAGGGACCTGGTAGGACGACAGCTGGGGAGGGCCACTGACCACTGATGACACCAGGATCCCCAGGAAGTCCTGGGGCCAGGTGAATATGTGTCCTTCCCCGGCAGGACAGACCCTTGAGCAGGATGGATGGCCAGTGCTGCCAGAATGTGCCATGGACAAGCATGGGAGGCAAGGCCTGTGGGGTCTCCAAGGGCATCAGCTCCAACTCCGGTACCTGGGATGGGTTGGGGAATGGACAGCAGTGAGACCCTCTCCCTGGAGGGGTCCCACATGGTTCTCTCACTTGTCCCCTTAGCTCCCACCTGCAGAGAGTGACCCTGATTCGCCCGGATGAGAGGGCCAGTGCTGGGGTCCCCTGGCTGCAGGGCAAACCGCTGCTTCCGGTTGGTATCCACCACGCGCTGCACATCTTCAGCAGAGAAGCTGTGGAACTGGGGCAGCTGCAGGAGGGTGTCCAGGGGCACGAAGCCATCTGCAGGCAGGCAGGGTGCTCAGGAGATGAACTTGTTCTGGCCTGGGCCAGAGTTAATAGGGCGAGCCACAGGTAGCCAGAACAGAGTCTGGGCTTAGGGTTTATCTGTGAGAGTCTCCCCTTTCCGGGCCTCTCTTTCCTTAACTTACATGGGAATAGGATCTGGCTTGGGGAGGGTCACAGGATAAGTGACTCTTTTATAGCATAGTACCCTGCCCAGAAAGGACTCAATAAACACCAGTTACCTTGACACCCCCCCACCCCCGTACCCACTCTTGGGTGTTTACTGGGCCACATGCACCATTAGTATTGCCGGGCCTGGAGTAGACAGAAGGTCCTCTCCCAGTTTGATCTAGATATTGGGCTCTGGGCCTCGGTGTTCCTTGCATGTGGAGGGGATGTGCCCTCTGTGCTGTCCCCATAGGGCCATGAGTCAGGCAGTCACAGATAGGCTCACACCGCTCCCTCGTCTCCAACCACTCACCTCAGTCTTCAAGACTTTCACTTACCAGCCCTCATGGGAAGCCCCAGCTTCAGAGCCCCGTGACGCAGGGCATAGGACAAAGCCTTGGACAGCTGTACATCTCGGTCCTGTAAGAGCCCAGAGGTGACCCCTGGTCCCTGTAGTGATGCTGCCCTGCTGCCCACCCTGCACTCCGGGTGACTTGCTGCAGAGGGAGGCCACAGGGAAAGGAATCCCCACTTTCTGGGAAGAGAGTGTGTGACGCATCCGCCCCCACTCCCACGCACCAGCATATTCCAGAGAGCTAGGGCGTAAAGTCCCCCTCCAATTACCACCAAGAAAGTGGGGATTAGGATGGGGTGGGCACACCTCTTCCCGGGGCCTGTGAGCCCTTCTACTCCTGGGTCCTGTGGTTTCCTGCCTCCTTCCTCCAAGGGAGCTCATGGCTGAGACCTGAGGGGAACAGTGATAGGTGGGGACTGTTAAGGACCCTCTCATGTCCCCATCCTGCCCAGCAAGTCACGAAGCCTCAGGACGAGTGAGCTGCGAAGGGGATATTCAGCTCATTAAATTCACTTCCCACCCATCCCCAACTCCCTCGTGCAGATAGGGAAACTGAGGCCCAGGAAGCAAGATTCGCCCAAGGTCACACCGAGTCCCTCACGAATCCCAGGGAAGCCCACAGCCCCGCAAAGGCGGCGGAGCGTTCAGGCCGACGCGGCGGAAGCCTGGGGCCGGAAGGTCAGACGGCGCGGGCGGGGGGCGGCAGGCACCGCGGGCAGCAGGCACCGCGGGCTCGCGGGAGGCCCGGCCGAGGCGCAGGGAGCGGCCAATGGGAAGCCGAGGGCGGGGGGCCGGGCACTTCCGCTGGGGAAGGGGCGGGGCCTGCGGGCGGGGGCCGAGAGCCGGCTGCAGCCTTGAGCTTCCGGATCCTGCGAGGGCTCCCGGCGCCTCAGGGTTGGTGGCAGGACCCTGGGTTTGGGAGAAGTGGACGTGAAGGGGTGACTGGACTCAGCACCTCTGGGTGGTGGAGATGCGCGGGATTCCCAGGGATGGCTGGCAGCGGGAATCCTGGGGCTCCTGCCCAGAGGGTGGTCACGGGGGTACCCTAAGGAGGTCTGTGGCGGAGGCGCCCAGCTGCTGGGCCCAAGGGTCGCCGTGGGGCGCTCGGGGTGACAGGCCCGGCCGTGTCCTCCCCCAGAGCTGCCCTGTCCAGACCATGGACCCCGAAGTGTCCGTGCTGCTGCAGTGCCCCCCGGGGGGGCTGCCAGAGGAGCAGGTGCGGGCTGAGCTGAGCCCAGACCATGACCGGCGCCCACTGCCAGGAGGGGACGAGGCCATCGCCGCCATCTGGGAGAGCCGGCTGCAGGCTCAGCCCTGGCTCTTTGACGCCCCCAAGTTCCGCCTGCATTCAGCCACCTTGGCTCCCACTGGCTCACAGGGGCCACGGCTGCTCCTGCGCCTGGGCCTCACTTCCTACCGGGACTTCCTGGGCACTAACTGGGCCAGCTCAGCTGCCTGGCTGCGACAGCAGGGGGCCACTGACTGGGGTGACAAACAAGCCTACCTGGCGGATCCGCTGGGGGTTGGTGCCACACTGGCCACTGCAGATAACTTCCTGGTCTTCCTGCGTCGGTCTCGGCAAGTGGCCGAGGCACCTGGGCTGGTGGATGTGCCTGGTGGGCACCCTGAGCCTCAGGTGAGATGCCAGGCTGGGTGCAAAGGCACAAAGGCTCAGCTCAGCTTTGTTTTCCTAATCCCTTAAAGGGAGGAGGGCGTTTGGGGTTGGCCTGGTGCTTCTCTGAAAGACTCCTGGGGCAGCACCTCACCCTCCCCATTGACCTCTGATTCAGACCTGTGGGAAGCTAGGGAATGATGGGGGTGGGGTGGGGAGCAGAGGACTAGCTGGATCTCTGGTTGTCCATATTAAAATGGTGGGCCTGGGTCAGGGGATCACCAAGACTCTTAACTCTGTGCCTAACCAGGCCCTCAGGGCCAGCCAATATGGGAGGAAGCAGGGTGGGAAGAGACAGAGAGCAGGGGCTGAGCCTGACCTCTCCTAGGCCGTGTGCCCTGGTGACAGCCCCCTGCACAAGGACCTCCCTGGGGAGCTGGTAGTGCATGAGCTCTTCTCCAGTGTCCTCCAAGAGATCTGTGATGAGGTGAGTGAGGGGTGGCCCAGACAGGTGGGCAAGAAGGGAGGGGGTACAACATGCCAGAATTCCACAGGTGTGGCCTGGCAGGAGGGTCTGCAGGCATCTGGCATTGGGGGAAGGGCTTGGCTTTACAGCTAGGCACAAGGGGAATCGTAGCCCTCATATATCTGTGTGCCCCCAAGCTCTTCCTCTTTAAAATGGGAATAATAAATGTCTTGTCTACTACCCCTCTATCCTTACCTTGTTTGTTGAAAAGAGCTGTAAATGAGAGTCTTAGTTACTTTGGCCTTCCCTTGGGTGACCCTGAGCAAATTGTTTGGTCTCTGCTTTCCCATCTGTAATATGAACATGCCCAAGATCTGACATTTTGTGACTCTGGACGCTTGAACTACAAACTATAAAATGCTGTACAAAGGTAATGTTCTCCACTGAGAGGGGCAGGGATGTGGACCACGGGCACTGACACGTGGACCCCCTGCACCAACCAGGTGAACGTGCCACTGCCCACCCTGAGCCAGCCGCTGCTGTTGGGCATTGCCTGCAATGAGACCAGTGGCGGCCGTGCCAGTGCCGAGTTCTATGTCCAGTGAGTGAGCTCTGGGCTACAGGGTCCTGGGTCCTGGGGTAGGCGGGTGCTTCAGGGGAATGGCTGAGACAGCTGGGATTCCGTGAGGACATTCCAAGGGCCAGGCACTCTCCCAAGCCACTCTCCTGTCCTGTTCCAGGTGCAGCCTGACTTCTGAGCAGGTAAAGAAGTTCTACACCAGTGGAGGAGCTGAGGCCCACGAGTCGACGGGAATCATCTTTGTGGAGACACAGGTGTTTAGTGCCAGAGTGTATCTTGCTTGAACAAGGAGCTGATGATGCACAGGCCTGGTGCACCTTGCACAGGCCTGGTGATGCAGGTCTACCTCCCTGGGGCTGGGTCAGATAGGGCTGCTAAATCTCTTAGAGCTTTCCTCCAGAGCCACAAGGCCTCCTTGATGCCCTCAGCCCAAGAGGCCAGGAGCCTCTTCACCTAGGGACGGTGAAGTGCAGAGGGATCTGAGGCTCAGGAACACTGGGCACAGCTCCCGCAAGAGACCTGAGGGCTGGATGTCAGGGATCTTACTTTCTCCCGCAGAGAGTGCAGAGGTTGCAGGAGACCAAACTGTGGGCTGAGCTCTGCCCCTCGGCCAAAGGCGCTATCTTCCTCTACAACCAAGTCCAGGGAAGTCCCGCCTGAGTCATCCTAGGGCCCCCAACCCTAGCACAACTTGGAAGACAATAAAGGACTTTATTCTTGGATTCCTTTGGCACCTGCTGGTTCCGTGAGACAGAGATGGACCGGTGGGTGAGACTGGATAAGTGTCTTGGGAAACAACCCCCACCACCCAGCCTCAGTTTTCCCCTCTGCAAACTGGGGTGAGGACCGTGCCCCCTTGCCCCGCTGTGGTGAGGGCCCGAGCTTCCTGTGAGGTGGACGCTGCCTTATGAAAGATGGCTCGCTGGAAAGCAGAGTAACATCCCTGTGCGGGAGACCCAGCGGGCGCCGGAGGCTCCGCGAGGCTCCGCGGGCCTCCACGTCGTAGGGTGGGCCCGAGGTGCCAAAGGCCAATGGGCGTGCGGGGGTGTGGCCTTCGACGCACTTCCGGACCTTCCGATTCGGTGGGTGCAGCTTGGGCGTCCAAGCCAATGAGAGCGCGGGGGCGGGGCTCGCATAGGCGCAGGAGGCGGCGGCCCGGGACTCCGTGAGCGCAGCGGGGGCGGGGCCTGGCAGGCCCCTCCTTCACCCGCCCCCAAACTCCCAGGGTGGAGAGGGGGTCCCGACGTCTGGGACTGGTTGTCTGGGACACCGAGACCAGTGGCGGAAGGGATCCGGACCCCCGGGCTAGTGGCAGGGGCAAGTCCAGGTCACTGGGGTCTGGGCCTGAGTGAAGGAGGCCTCCCCGCCCCTGGGTCCCCTAAGGCTGCTTCCGTTTGCCGACGCTAGTAAACGGAGCCAGGCCCTTCCCTTTCACCCCGGAGTGCTCGAAGTGTGGTCCCATCCTGGTCCCAATGCACTTCTCTTTGTGGCCTCCTTTCATCAGCCGCCTGCCAGTCGCCATGCTGTCCCTGTGCCTGTGCCGGTTCTGGCCCCGCAGCCCTTCCACCCGGCTCTTCTCGGCGGCCACCAGGCAGCGGTGAGTCGGAGGCCGGGGTAGCCCCCCACGTCAGTCAGTGGGTTTTCGTTGAGGAAGGCCTGCCCAGCTCCAGGCCTGGACCCAGGTACTAAGATAGTTGTGATCTCTCTACTCTGTGTCAGGTGCCTTACAGGCTTATTTCAGGTAACCCTCACTTTGACTATAGAGGACACAAGATCAAAGATGAAGAGACGACCCTCAAGGTCATACAGCCAGTTAAGAGGCAAAAGTGGAATTTGAGCCCAAGCCAAACTCGGTGCTCTTTTCACGACTGTCGTGGTGGTTGAACATCAGCATCACTGCAGAACTCACTGGAGGTGGCTTACAAAAATGCAAATTCCTAGGCCTTGTTCTGGAGATTCTGATCTGCAGGAATGAAGTGGGTTTTGGGAATCTGTGTGTGTGTGTTAAGATTTTATTTATCTATTCATGAGAGACACACAGAGAGGCAGAGACCTAGGCAGAAGGAGATGCAGGCTCCATGCAGGAGCCTGATGTGGGACTCGTTCCCAGATCCCAGGATCACACCTGAGCCAAAGGCAGACACTCAACTGCTAAGCCACCCAGGCGTCCCAGGAATGTTTTTAAACAAGCTTCCTGGGTGTTTCTGTTTCAAGGGGTCTGAGGGCTACACATGGAAATGTTCTGATCGGCACCATACCTGAAATACTCAAAAGGGGAGGGATGATTTGGAGATGGATCTCCCTTGGCACCAGCCTCAGCCTCCTCACCTCCTGGTTTCTCTCTCTCTCTCTCTCTTTTTATCTTCCTCCCAGTTTCTGAGTTGAGGAGTGTGGCCCAGAGGTGCTGGGAGGGGGAGGGGAGGAATAGCCTCTGTGTTTCCACAGCCCTTGCAGTTTCTGGCCTATCTCCACAGGTCTGGCCCCAGGAACTACTATGAACTGTTAGGGGTGCATCCTGGTGCCAGCACTGAAGAAGTTAAACGAGCTTTCTTCTCCAAGTCCAAAGAGGTACCAGTGGTCCTAGGTGGGGAGGAGGGAGGATAAGGCTGAGCAGATAGGGTACACTTCAGATTGCCAGGAGTGGAGCCGAGGGGCTCACTCTGGATGGTGCCACATTCCCTTAGCATGTATAGAGAATGGGAGGTGCCCCAAGAGCAGTGGTCTGGCCAGCTGGGAGGAAAGGCTGGGGACGGGAGCCAGGGGTTCTATGTGATGGGCTGGGCTTGGTTCTGATCTGCCTGCTCTTGAGAAAGCCAGGGCATATAGTGAGAGCCAGGCAGCAGGTGGAAGGCCTTGAACAAGGGGAAGGGGAGGAGTCTGTGCTTCCTGACTCTGGCCTTCTAGAGGGGTGGGCAGCCCTAAGAGTGAGGGTTCCTCTCCAGGCAGGGCCTCCAGGGATGATTTGAACCTTTGTGGGTGGACATTATTGGGATGGGTTCTGTGATGGGGCATGGAAAAAGAGCTGAAGAGAGTCTTGCCCCACCCCAGCTGCACCCTGATCGGGACCCTGGGAACCCAGCCCTGCACATCCGCTTTGTGGAGCTGAGTGAAGCGTACCAAGTGCTCAGCCATGAGCACAGCCGCCGCAGCTATGATCACCAGCTCAGCTCCACAACTCCTCCAAAGTCTCCAGGAACCACAGTCCATCCCAGGGCTGCTCATCAAGCACACAGGTGCAGTAGTCCTGCCCCTGACTTGCTCCATTCCCCAAGTCTCCTGGGGCACCTCATTCCCATACTTCCTTTCTTCTCCCTCTCAGCAGCTCCTGGGCACCCCCCAATGCACAATACTGGGCCCAGTTTCATGGTGTGAGGCCTCAGGGACCAGAGTCGAGGCAGCAGCAGCACAGACACAACCAGCGGGTGCTGGGATACTGCCTCCTGATCATGTTGGCAGGCATGGGCCTGCATTATGTTGCCTTCAGGTGCATCCCTGCCTTCCGCCTGGGGTGATGGGCAGAGGGTGGAGGGTGGGTGGAGCCCAGTGTGGTCAGCCATACATCCACACCACCCCTGCAGCTTGCGCTTTTGTGTCTCAAGCTAAGAATTGCATGAAGTAGCTCCTGAACCTCTCCTTACTTGGCAAAGACACCTCTACACTAACTAAGGGCTAATGTCATTTTCAGGTTTTTTTTTTTTTTTTTTTTTTTTTTTGTCATTTGAATGTAAATATTTGGTGCTGCTGATAGGATGTGCTGGAGCCAACCAAGATCCTGCACAAGGAAATATGTTGTAACTGGGCCTCACCGGCAACTACCCTCAGTTGTTTGGCAATCGGCTGTCTCCCCGCCATCCTTTTATGCATGCCATGAATACCAGGGTTCTACCACAAAGATATCTAAAGGCTGATGCCCACTGCTAGCAGCCTGCCTAGCTCCGTGATGCATTAGATGTATACCCTTTCTAGTCTCCTGCGAGGAACATTCTGATGTTCAGAGCTGCTATTACCACCTTCAACAAGACAGAGACCTGGGTCACCCATGGACCCTGGATAAGCCCCTGCCCTTCCATGCCCCTCTGCCCACCTAGCACAGGCAGTTAGGCAGAGGTCCTCACAGATGTAAAGCTGTGAGACCCTAGAGTTGCCTGGATGGTGGGGGTTGGATTTGGGGGACAGCAGGGATTGGGGTTAATTGTAACCCCCTTGCAGGAAGCTGGAGCAGATGCACCGGAGCTTCATGGATGAAAAGGATCGAATAATCACAGCCATCTACAATGACACACGGGCCCGGGCCAGGTCTGTCCCTGCTCTCCCTTCACTGTCCTGGCACCACCCTCTGGGATCCTCTGCCTTGACCACCCAGGTACTCTCTCCTGCAGGGCCAACAGAGCCAAGCTCCAGGAGCAACTGCAGAGGCAGCGGCTGCAGCCACCACCTGGAGGCCCAGGGATCATGCCTCCGGGCACAGGCACCCGCCCGTGAGCAGCTCGCTGGGATGGGGCCTTGCTACCCCATGGGACTTCCCACTCCCCAAAACGCGTGCAATAAAGTGATTCTCAGAGCTCGTGTCCGGCTCCTTGCTTCATGCCCTGCGGCCCCCGTCCCAGGCCTCACCGGGGAACGACACCCCGCCCTCGGAGTCCCGGCGGCAGCGACCCGCGAGCCCGGCCCCCTGGGCGGTGCGTCCCCTTTCCCCTGCTGCGGCGGGAGGGGGGGTGTGTGGAGGGGGCGGGCCCCGGCGGCGGCCTCGCCCCCCCTCCCCCGCCCCGCCCCTGCCCCGCGGCCCGGTGGGGAGCGCGTGTCTGGGTCACATGAGCCGCCCGCCCGCCAGCCCGGGCCCGGCCCCCCGCCGCCCCCGCCGTCCCCGCCGTCCCCGCCGCCGTCGCCTGCCGCCACCGGCCGCCTTCCCGCCCGGCTCCTCCAGCCGCCGCCGCTGCGCTGCGCTGCGCTGCCTGCGCTCAGGGCTCGGGAGGGGGCCGCGGAGGAGCCGCCCCCCGCCCCCGGCCCCCGCCCGCCGCGCCCGGGCCCGCGCCATGGGGCTCTGGCTGCCGCCGCCCCCCGCGCCCCCGGGCTAGGGCGATGCGGGCGCCCCCGGCGCGCGGCCCCCGCGGGCACCATGGGCCCCCTGCTCCTCAGCCTGCTGCTCGCCGCGCTCCTGCAGCTGGCCCCCGCCCAGGTACGTGCGTCCCCGACATCCCGCCGGGCCGCCCGCCTTGCCCTCTCTCAAGGTTGGCGGAAGTGGGGAGATGCTGCGCGGCCTCTGCCGCGGGGACCCGCGGGGTCGGGCTGCGGGCCGGGGCGTGGCGAGGATCCGGCAGGGGCATCCCCCGGGAGGAGTCCCTCCCCGCCGGCCCGCCAGCCCAGCCCTGCGCCACTCCCCTGCCCCACCCCGTCCCCTGGGCTCGGACGGGGGTGGGGTGGGGGGGTGGAGCCGCTCGGTGCCCGCTGGACTTGGCTCGGCGCCCACTGTGCCCCCTCCTGACCTGTGGCCTCCGAATCAGCCGGGGGCCCCCAGGCTTGGAGATTGGACGTTGCTGCGCCGCCACCACCACCACCGTGGCCAGGGCAGGTCTCAGGTGGCCAGGAGAAGCCAGGTAAAGCTAGAGTGACCCCAGGAGCAGAGCAATCTGGAAATATGCCATAGAGGAGTTGAAGCCCTTTGACGGCCAGGGCAGAGCCCTGGGGACAGTGACAGGGCTAGCCCTTCCTTGAGTGCACCTTGGGTCCAGGTCCCTTCTCTCCTACAGGGCCCTGTGTCCCAGCCTGATGCCCTCAGCCACCAGAAGAAAGGTAATAGTAACAATAACCACCCTAACCAGCACTGAGGAGGTTAGCCCGTCTAATCATGAGTGACTATTCACTCTCCAAGATGCAAACTTATTCTGCCCATTTCACAGAAGAGAAAGTTGAGGCAGTGGGGTTCCTGGGTTCCTGGCCAGGGGAAGGCAGCTTGTGAGGGCAGAAAGGGCCAGTGAAGGGTGGCTGTGACACAGGAATTAGGGAGAACAGCTGTGGGGTACAGGGGACAGGGCAACTGGGGAGCAGCTGCAGTAAACCCAGCGAGGACTTAACCCTTATGCATCTGCCCCCAGTGGTGTCATGGATAGATGTATATGCCCGTGCCACCTGCCAGCCACGGGAGGTGGTAGTGCCTCTGACTGTGGAGCTCATGGGCACGGTGGCCAAGCAACTGGTGCCCAGCTGCGTGACAGTGCAACGCTGCGGTGGCTGCTGCCCTGACGATGGCCTGGAGTGCGTGCCCACTGGGCAGCACCAAGTCCGAATGCAGGTACTAGGACAGAGGGAGTGTGCCCAGCTGGGGTGGATGCCAGTGCTCTGGGGTGGTGGGGGTGGGGGAGTGGGGGCAATGGCCAGAACCTTGGCTGGTGGGCAAGCTGTTCTCCCTCCAGCCTGTGGAGCATTCCTTTTCTCTCTCTCTGTCTCTTACACTGTCTCTTCTCCATCTCTGGAATACAGATCCTCATGATTCGTTACCCAAGCAGTCAGCTGGGCGAGATGTCCCTGGAAGAACACAGCCAGTGTGAATGCAGGTGCCAGCCAGGCCCCACTTCTGAGCTCACAGAGACCAGGCTCGGGGGGTGCCGGGCATAGTGGTACACCACAGTGGGGACCAGATCTCCAAGACTCGAACTTGGGGTAGGCCTGGGATCTGGGCTAAGAGAGTAGGATGCTTGGCTTTTCTGATCCTCTTCCTCCTCGTTTCTGTCCCTCCCTCTTACTTTTCAGACCAAAAAAGAGAGAGAGTGCTCTGAAGCCAGACAGGTGAGTCTCTTGGGCTCTTACTGAGATGGGGTTGGAGCCCAGGCCCAGCAGCCAGGATGTAACGTGTGGACGGGGCAGGGGGTGCAGTCCCAACCCCTCTTTCTCCTCCCACCGAGTCTACCTCTCTTTTGCTCTGCTCCCCGAGTCTGTGTTCTCTGACCCAACCCCAGCTCCTGGGAAGGCTTTTCTTTCCCACCCCAGACATGTTGCTTCTCCTCCTAGGGCTTCCACTCCCCACCACCGCCCCCAGCCCCGCTCCATTCCGGGCTGGGACTCTGCCCCCGGAGCACCCTCCCCAGCTGACATCACCCATCCCACTCCAGCCCCAGGCCCCTCTGCCCACGCTGCACCCAGCGCCGCCAGCGCCCTGACCCCAGGACCTGCCGCTGCCGCTGCCAACGCCGCAGCTTCCTCCGTTGCCAAGGGCGGGGCCTAGAGCTCAACCCAGACACCTGCAGGTGAGGAGCGGAGGGCACCATTTGCTGGGTAAGGCATCAGGGCCTCTGGAGCGGGTCCAGAGATGAGCCTGCCAGGGAAGGGGAAGATGCTGAATGTGTTGAGCAAATATTTACCAAGCTTCCACTGGCACTGGGATCAGTGTAAACAAAGTTAACATTCTCATGTGAGTCAGACATGAGATATGCGATGCCAGCAGAGGAGGTCAAGGGCTGAGGTCAGGGGCACCCGAAATTGTCTCCGAGAGGTCACAGATGCTCTGATGGGAACATCTGCCTGTGGTAAAGATGAGAGCCATGGCTCTCCAATTTTGGAAGCTCTGGGCCTTCCTAAAAGCCCCTTTAGGAGATATTTGTCCCACCTTGTGGGCTCTGTGAGAGGCCAGGGGACACAGTGGAATCCTTGTCCACCTTCTCTGAGGTGCTTCTCACCACTCCTCCCTTCCACAGTGAGGCCCCGAAGTGGCATTATGTGGGCCCGGCAAGCTGGTGCTCGCCAGGTGCGTTAGGAGAGAATGGGGGTTCATAGAAGGTAACAAAGGGGTGAATTTCCAGGAGTAGGGGCTGAGCTATGCCTGCATGAACAGATCTCTTCCTTCCCTTCCTCAGGTGCCGGAAGCTGCGAAGGTGACACGTTGCTTTTCAGACTCAGCAGGGCCACTAGACTCACAAGCCACCCCCACAGAGGTGGGACTGGGGGCAACATGTTGAGAATAGCCTAGTCCCAAGACCTCGGCATGGGCAGAAGCTGCTCCAGGACCTGGGCCTCTCGGAGGACTTTCTAGCTGTCCCGGGTCTCTCCAAGGCTGCCAACTGACAGGGTGGGCAGCTGGCTGGGAACATGTGTAGGTGGCACCAGGGGTCGCAGACTAACTCTGAAAAGAAGGGGTACTGTCTGTTTTCAACCACCATGTGCAAGTGAGCATCTTACAGCTGGCTCCTCTGTCCCCTCACTAAGACACTGATCCTCTGCAAATACTGGGAATTGGGCTTCGGTGTGAGAACTGTGACCCCCAACCCTGATAAAAAGAGATGGAAGGAGCTGTCCCTGCCTGTGTCACTGTTTGTCACAGTCCAGGCTGGGTGATCCAGGCATTCTGCATCACACTGCCTCCCAGACTTAGAGCCTGTTTTACTCCCTCATTGTGCAGATGGAGGAAATGAGGCCCAAGGTCCCCTACCAGGTCACAAGACTGAGCCAGAGTTGTGTATTCTTCATGGTCCTGCTTGTCACATCTAGGCCCTGGGGGGGCTCTGCCCCTTGCCATCACAAAGGCTCCTTTCTGTAAGGAGATGGCCTGCTCTGGCCAGTGAGCTCAAGGTGGGACCCGGATCTGCTGAATCATCTTGGTTGTCACTGGCCCCTCTCTGAGCTTCACCTTCCACACGGGCACATGGAGGGAATGGATGATTGCTATGGCCCCGGCCTTGGGACTTCAGGAAAGTCTGAGTATGTCTTCACTTGATAGAAAAACCCCTCTTCTCTGCCGGGCAGCACTCTGCATGTAAGCTACTTCATGTAGCTTAACTCTAAAGCCACACACCTGCCCTGTCCCCACATCCCTGGAAGGGAAGTACAAAAGGGCTGTGGCTGGTGGGCTTGCCTTGGGAGATAGGTCCCCTCACCTCCAACCACACGTTTTTCTCCACCTTCACGCCCCTTTGCCTTGGGCTCCCCTCAGCAGCTCCTGCTTGGGACTGTCCTGACTTTTGTCTGATCCAGCCGAAGCCCAGCGCCTGCAGCTTCCATCGTCCCTGGGGTGGAGCTGTGAGGGGCCGACCAAAGACCAACCTCGGCTACCAGTGGCTGGCCTTGCTGAGACAGGACATTCAGGGTTACAGGTTAACCCAGAGTGGCTACCCTAAAGGAAGCCTTCTCTGAGGCGTGAGATTGGAGGGCATGGCTGTGATCTTGCTGGACCCAAGGCAGGAGTGGGGTTAAACCAGAAGACAACTCCTGATAGTGATCACTACTTCTCAAACCACTATTCTCAGCAATGCCGTCACTGGAAATGCTGTAGCTCAACCAAAATGAGACAGATGAGGGCTGGGGACTCTAGAGCTGCCACTTCCCCCGCCCACTTAGTGCTGGACATGCACAACGCTCCATATGCACCCCTTGCTTAGTCCTCAATTCTCCGGTCAGCGCTGCTGATTATCTTCCTTTTCCAGGCTCAGAAAGGCTGAGTGACCGGGGATGTGCCCTCAAGTCTGGGGTCTCTAACACTGTTTAGGTTTGGTCGCCTCGCGACTACAAGTTCACTCCTCCAGTGGAGAGATGTTGGGGCACCCGAGCATGGCTGTCTGGGGGGGGAAGGGCCCAGCCACACCACTACCACCATGACTCCGTGGTCCGCGTGCGTCGGGTCGAGGCGGGCAGAGCATTAGCTGTGGGCCAGAGCCCGCTGGAGCACATGGTGGCAGCAGTGCCTCCACGGCCCTGCCAGTACAGGGACTCCAGATCCTACCAGGCCCGGCAGCTTGCTCACGGTCACGCTGCCAGTCAACGAACGGCAGACCCCACATTCAAACCCAAGTCTGAAGCCCAAGCAATCTGCACTGCAACTGGAGCCGGGGAGGCCCGGCGGCAAACGGGAGCGCTGTGGTAGCCAGGGGACGAAATAAAATGGCGTCCCCAGACCCCTTCCGGGAGCCTGCGTCCGCCTGACCTTAACCTCACCTCGACCGGAAGTGCCAAAGGCACTTTAGGAAGTCACTTTCACCTAACTTTACCGACTACCGAGCCACCGGAAGTAGCGCGCCGTCACTTGGCGGCGCGGGGGCGGAGCTGGGGGAAAGGCCGCCCCAGCTGGCGGGTGGCAGCGGGTTTTGCGCAGTCCAATGAGGGCGGGCGGCGTGGCCCGGCCTGGTAGCGACGCTGATGCGCCTGCGCAGAGGCGGCCGCACGACTGGGGTTGACTCCGGGGGCGCGGCGAGGAGGTGAGCGGGGGCCACAGCCCGGGCTGGGGGGAGCCGGGGCGCAAGGGCCAGGCTGGGTCAGGCCGGGCAGGAGCGGGCGGGGCTCCGAGTGTCAACGAGGGATAGGTTAGGAGGAAACTGGGCGTTGGGGTCGGAGCTGTCTGGGGATGCCGCAGGGGGAGGGTTTTCACGCTGCACGGGGCGGAGCCCCGGGAGTCGGGGCGGGACGTGGAACAGAGGCGGGTGGAACCTCTGAGCTGGTGCCAGTGGAAGGCGGAGCTCCGGGGCTGGGGGCGGACCTAGGACAGGTGGGGGGCGGAGTCTGGCCCCTGGAGGAGGAGCTGGAACAGGCGGAAGGCGGAGCCTCGGGTTTGGAGACCGAAGGGGACGGAGCCCAGGCGCTGGGGGCGGGCCTTCAGCCGGTGAGTGGCGTGGCTACCGTTCAGGAAAAGGGGTCTGGTTCTCCCGAGGGCGGGGCTCCAGAGCAGGGGGCGGAATTACGTCCCTTAAAGGGTGGGGTCAAGGAGTCAAGTGAAGGTGTAGGCCCAGGTAATGGCCCGGGGCGTCCACGCGGGGGCGGTCTCCGCGGGGGCCGGGCCTGGGGACGCGGTAGGCCGAGAACTCCCCCGGGAGAGGTGGTGTGGGTGGAGCGTGCTCGGCGGCCACCCGACACGGGGCCAGTCTGGGTACCCCGCAGGCCCCCGAGGGCTCAGAGCTGGGGCGGCGCCCCGGGCGGAGGCGCAGGCCCCGCCTGGGGGGTGCCTCCGGAAGATCGGGGCTCCCCGGAGCCACCCAGCGGCGATGTGTGGGTCCCTCGGGGCAGGCCCCCTGCAGCGACCGCAGAGGTGTGGGTGTGCTGGGCAGGGGGCAACTGGGTGTGGCGTGAATGGGGTCGCCCGGTCGAGACAACTGCTGGACAGCCAGATAGGGTTTGGACTTTGCGTAAAGGGGCGGGTGGGAACTGAAGAGCGGAGATGGGGACCGGGAGGGAAGGGAGGGCTGGGGGTGAGCAAAGGGGCGGGGCCCTGGCTGCTGTGGCCTCCCCTGACCCCCTCCCCCCGCTGCTGGGGTCCTCGGGCAAGCCCCCTTCTCACTGGACTGGTAAGTGTGGCCGCGGAGCCCGGGGGAGGGGGCGGTGACCTGGGACAAGGGAATCCCCCAGGGGCAGGCAAGGTACGGTGGGGGTGGAACCTCCTTGTACCTGCCCCTATTCCATGCCCTCCCCCCCCCCCCCCCCCCGCCCCTTCCCCGGTCGGTTGGTCGGTCGATCGGGGTCTGTTCCCGCAGAGACATGAGGCTGAGCTGGGTCCTGACAGTACTGTCCATCTGCCTGAGCGCCCTGGCCACTGCTGCGGGGGCCGAGGGCAAACGGAAGCTGCAGATCGGGGTCAAGAAGCGGGTAGACCACTGTCCCATCAAATCGCGCAAGGGTGACGTCCTGCACATGCACTACACGGTGGGTGAGGAAGTGGAGCGTTTGGGGTGGGTGGGGCTTCTAGGGACCTGAGAAGACTTGGAAGCCGGATTCCTCAGCCAACAAGGTGGGTGATCTTGGGCAAGTCCCCTGTCCCTTTTACGCTAGTTTCCATAATTCTACCCTGCTGTTCAATGTCTGACCCCCAGGTTGGCACCAGCAAGCAGTGACAGTATACTGTGAGCTGCCCAGGGCTCTGTGTCTCCTCCTAGGGCTGTGGCTACCATGGGGGAGCCAGCTTGGGGAGAGCAGCTGGGTGGGAAGGTGTGTCAGAGTGAACCCTCCTCTTCACTGGTCTTCCCATGGTCCCACAGGGGAAGCTGGAAGATGGGACAGAATTTGACAGCAGCCTGCCCCAGAACCAGCCCTTTGTCTTCTCCCTGGGCACAGGCCAGGTCATCAAGGGCTGGGACCAGGGGCTGCTCGGGTGAGTCAAGGGGGCCGCGGCTGCGATCAAGGAGGTTGATTGTGGGAGGCAAGCCCCAGGGATCGGGGAGGAGCAGGGAGCCTGGGTGCTTGCCATGTGCTGAACATGTGTTGTCCTGCAGGATGTGTGAGGGAGAAAAACGGAAGCTGGTGATTCCATCAGAGTTGGGTAAGAGGCCCTTCCTGAGCCTGGATACGGGAGTTTGGGGTGTGCTTCTGGGGAAGAGTAAAGGCTGGTTTAGCCTCTGCATTGGTTTCCACCCCATCTATTCATTATGGCTCAGGCTTCTTCCAAGTCTAGCTACGTACAGCAGTGAGAACAGAGCAAGACCCTCGGGGCACTTGGTTCTGATGCCCACCTCTGTCCTCTGCCAGACCTTTTGTAGCCCCTTCCCGTCTCCATTACACCTTCTCCATTTCTGGCTATCTTGTTGAGATGGGCAGAGGCCTGGCTTCAGCCTGGATGTCTGCAGAACACTTCTCTCCTTTGCCCAACGACAGCTCAGTTTCTTTGTCCATCTCTGACAGGGTATGGAGAGCGGGGAGCTCCCCCAAAGATTCCAGGTAATATACCTTCCTGCCCCGTGTCCTGCCCATCTTGTCTCCCTGTGGTCCTGGTTCTCATTCTGTTCCCTCCTCTCCCCTGCAGGTGGTGCAACTCTCGTGTTTGAGGTGGAGCTGCTCAAAATCGAGCGACGTTCAGAACTGTAGCCAAACTGGGGAGGGGCAGCGGAGAGGCCCCCACATCAGGGACCAGACTGTTTAAAAAAAAAAAAAAAAAACCAAAAACAAAAAAAACAAAACAAAAAAACAAAAAGCCCTGAAAGCCCATGAAGTGAGCCTGTGTTTGTTTGTGGGCCCCAGGACTTAGAACCCACAGCTTCAGCCTGCCCTCTCCCTTGGCACCAGCCATCTCTCTCCTTTCTTGGCCACAGAGAACCTTGGGTGTAGGCTCGGTATGGGGATCATGATGGACAGGCCCTAAGTGGCATGGTGGCCCTGGCCCAGAGGAAAAGGCATAGTCCTGCCTACCAGTACCACCACTACTTCCCCCAGTTCCCCAGCCACTTCCAGCTCTGGGTCTGGGAGCCAGCACTGAGCTATCACCATGGTTACAAGGCCCTCAGGAAGGCCTGTGGTCACCTGGGAAGAAGTTGAGCTGGCAGCAGTGGTATAGCGGTGTGTCCCCCCTAAAAGAGACCAGCTGAGTCGGAAACTGCACCAAAGGCATATCCTAGTTTTATTAAAGGGCCGCGCCGCAGAGTCAATATAAAAACACAAAAAGTCTCATCAGTTTAATAACAATAAAAAACCCCAAAAATGGAAAACTGAGGGGGCAGGGATGAGGCCCCTGAGCAGGGGCACGGGGAGCCCTGCTCATGGCACCAGGCCTGGCCGCAGGGCCCCCTGGTATTGCTGTTGCTACGAGGTCGGGGAGCAGCGATTGTCCTGTGGGAGCCACCATTCACCTGGATCGAGGACCCTACTTCTTCTGGGGTGTGCTCAGCTTCTGCATGCCCCGTATCTTGTCCAGCAGGCCAGAGATGAAGGCCTGAACAGAAGGGAGGACATTAGGCAGACCAGACCCCAAGATGACAGAAACCCAGGCTCCTTTCACCCCAGCCTCTGGGGAAACCACTCAACTCACCTCAGTGGGTTTGTAACAGTCAACCAGCAGCTCCTAGGAGGGCATGGGGTGGGGGTGGGAGTGGGGAGATAAAGTATAGCTGTGAGTTCTGAGGAACAGGGGCCTCAAGTTTACCTGTACCCACCTCGGAGGGATGGGGCCACCCCCAGGCACAGGCGATGCCACAGCCACTCAACCGCTAGGCAGGCACCATTAGCCCCATTTGACAGAGGCAGAAGCTGAGGTGCAACATCACTACGCTGAATGACTAAAGCAAAGAAGGCTGAAATCTAGAGCCTTGCTTACCCACGGGTGGTGCCTCCAGGAAGCCCTCTCTTCCCTGATCCCCCAGCCCAGCTGTCTCCCAGGCTGTCTCACCTTGACCCTGGCGGCCCGGGTATCATCACTTTCCATGTCCAGGAGTTCATCTACATCAATCTCTAACTCTGGGATCTCTTCTTCCTGGGGTGGGGTAAGGGTGGGGGAGGAGGCAGAGACAAGGACCTGAGTTGGGAGAGACAGCGTGAGAGGGGCTCCGGCTGAGGCCTCTGCCCCACCACAGGATAAGCCAGCCTTCTTTGCCCAGCAGACAACGGCAGCTGTCCGAGGAAGAAAACAGATCAGGCTTGTGCCAAGGCAAAATGCCCAATGAGGGGGGAGCTTCCTGTCCCTGCCAGTTGGGCACCATGGGCGCCAGACAGGGCCAGACAGCTAGGGCTGGGGGACCCTGGGCTGAGAACCCGGCAGATGCATTGCCCAACTTCCCAGGCCCCCTTTCAGCCAGCGCACAGGTGGGGCCAGCTGTCTCAACTCCTCACAGTCCCTCCCCCTCACCCAAACACCTGTCACAGCTTCCCAGGAGTGGGGAGGAAGTAAAGGGTGAAAGGTCAGTGGGAAGGACCCAGGCCTGGTAAGGGGGAAACAAAGAGCCCATGCTTTCCTGAGGGAGGGGGTGCCTGCCACCCCTCCTCCCTCAGGAAGCGGCCATCCAGTCTGGAGCCAGCTGCATTCCAGGGCTAGTCTAGGGTAGGCAGCACGGGGCAAGCCCACTCCTCCGCCCTGCCCCCCGGGGCCTGAGTCACCATTTGAGCAAGGACGGAGTCATGGGGTGGAGAACCAGAACTCAGAGGACAGCAAGCGTGCCCCTACACCAAAATGGAGAGCTGCAGGCGTGCCCATGAGAACAGCCCTGACCCTTTACAATCCAACCAGTCTTGCGCCTCTTAACCAGCTTCGGCTAGCAGGCACTAGGAAGACGACCTTCCGCTGCCAGCTCAGGCTAGCCTCCTGCCTCCTGCCCATGGCCCAGGCTATCCCTCGAGGCTTCTAGAGGACCCCAAGCTTGACCAGAATAGTGACATGAGGGAGTCAGGAGGGAGAAGATAGGAGTGACTTAAGGTCAGACAAGAAAGAGCACACACTGGGGCGGGGAGTACAGAAAGGGAGGGGAGCACGCGGAAGCGGAGCGCCCATTGACTCCGGTGACAGGCAGGCGCAAGGTGGGGTTCCCAAGCAGCCCGACTAGGGAACGACTTCAGGGTGTCGGCGCAGAGTAGGGGACACACCTGGCAGTCATAGAGGCGAGTGAGCTGCTCCAGGATCCACTCCTCCAGGTTGAGGCGCTTCCGTAGCTCTTTGCGGTCGTACTTGACCGTGACCTTCCCTTGGCGCCTCACTGGGCCCTCGTCGTCCGCACCGCCTGGGCCCTCGCCTGCAGCCCCAGGGGGGCTCTGAAAGTAGACGCGGGGCCCTGGGCCACTGCTGCCCGGCCCTGGGGCAGGGGCCGCTAACGCCGCGCCCCCCGCGGGGCCGCTGTCCGCCATGGCGGCCGCCGGGGCCACGTGCGCGCTTCGGGCCCCTCCCTGCGCCGCCGCCTCCCGGACGCCCGCCGGCTGGCTCCGGGCCGCTGGCTCGGGTTAGCTCGCGGGCTCGGCTCCGCGCGGCTCCGCGGCGAGGGCGGCGGCGGGGGCGCCCGGGGGCAGCTGCAGCATGCGGAGCCCCCGGGCCTGGCCTGGCCGCGCCCCGCCCCCTCCCCGCCGATCCGCCCGCCCTTTGTCCCCCGCGGCCGCCGCCCGAGCCGCCGCCGCCGCCGCCGCCGCCGCCGAAGCCGCTTTCTCTGTCTCGCTCTCTTCCTCCGCCCCCCGACCACACCCCCTTAAAGGGCCAGTCCCGCTCCGGGCCCCTCACTCCCACCCCGCCCCGGGCAGGGGCTAGGGGAGGGTCTAGTTGTCAGGGGCCTGGGCCTGGTTGTCTGATAATCCCTTTTAACCTATCTGCTCAAGCCCTGGCATTCTAGGCGCCCGAATACTGGGGTTTGGTCTCCCCCCGGGGCCCTAGTGTAATGTCCTCACTGACGAAAAACAGGGGTCATCTGGGAATAGAAGGGAGTGAGTAGTACGTGCAGGGCGGGGGTCTGGAGAGGAAACACTGGAGCCCTCGACGTCTGGGTCCTCCGGTTCCAGGCCAGAGGAGGGCAAGCAGCCTTCTCCGCGTACACCGACACGTGGACCAGGCTCCCCAGGGTGGAGGGGTGGAGAAGCGGACAGGAGCTGCCCAGGTCCGCGGACGCCCTACTGGGCAAGGGCACGCTCCCCCTATGGTGGAGGCCCAGGTTAGGGGTGAGCGGAACCGGCTCAACCGCCTGAAGGGCTAGACCCTAGACTGCCACCGCCACCGCCCACCGGCCAAGATGGCGGTGAGGAATGGGATTATGGGAAATGTAGTTCTTGAGGTCCGGCCGAGCCTGGCCGCCCCTCCCCCTCAACGGAGCCAGGGCGGGGAAGCGCAGAACTTGTTTGGGGCGCCCTCGTTCGGCTGGCTTCCACAGGGCGCGGCCCGGCGCGGCCCTTCGCCCCCCACCCGCCCCTCCCCGCAACGTCTCTGTGTACAGAGGGAACCCAGGAGTAAAGAGCTGGGACATGCGGGAGCGGGTACCCTTGATAGTAAAGATGATGATAACAGCTGACCCATAAAAAGCGTTCCTCGAGTCGGTTCCAATGCAGTCGGATCCAGTGTGAGGCCCGCTTCATTGGCTCTTCCACAGATCGTGGCCCTGCAGCGTCTTCTGTCCTTCAGATCTCACAGGCACCTTACCGGGCCCACCTCTCTCCAATAGAGGTGCATCCCATTACTGCACCCCATGGGAGCTTCCGTATCTCTGAATGGTCTCTTCATGTGATTTCTGTCTCCCACTCCTAGATTGTGTGTCCCATGCGGCCGGGCCCTGGGTGGCCCTTGCTTAATGCTGATGCCCAACGTGGAGGGACCAGCTGGGCTTCAGATCCCCATGTAAGGAGCAAATGACCCTATTCTTGCTGAACTCCCAGCACGGGTGTCAGACTTGTAACTGTTGGCTGAACACGTGACTGAATGAAAGAATGAATGGCTTCCTCTGTGCCTAGCATTTCCTGAGAAACTTGAGGCAAAGAGCCAAAGAGAAATACGTGGAAGGGCCGATGACAGTATCAGAGGTCGAGTCACACAGCTAGAGCTGGAGCTCAGCTTGCAAACCCAGGCCTCCTGACACTTAAGTCTCTACTCACCCCCATCCCTCATCCCACCAACAAGGGGGTGCAGCTCCTCTGAGATGCTTCCCATAGGTGGCAGGTTCTCCCTCCGCAGTCCCAGACTGGGTCTCAGGATCTGAGAGGCGATAAGTGTTTCTGTCCCAGACTCTCACAGATACCTTCTCTCTGGATGCCAGATAAGCCCACTGCAGGTAGGGTTCAGAGAGAGGCTGACTGGCCCAGAGTCACACAGCTCGTGTGGTAGCCAAACTCAAACCCAGAACTTTGAGCTTACTCTGTAGCTGGGAAAGAGAGACAATGAGTGCAGAAGCTGGGAATGGTATGTGTACAGGAGTGGCAAGGTGGGCTTCTGGGTTGGGGTAGGCTCTCAGGGCTCATTCCGGGGCAGGTAGAGGGGGGCTCAGGCCTCCTCCCTCCCCAGCCCTGCTCCTGGACTTATCCTCCCCTCAGCCAGCCTGGAGAGTCTGTGGAGGGCTGACCCTTGCTCTGGCCGATTAGGCAGGACCATTCTTTCCACCAGGAGCCCCATCCCTGGCCTGTAGGAGGAGCAATTTGCCCAAGTCCAAATTCCCTACCACACCCGCACCTCACCCCACCAGGGCAGGTCTGCTGTATCTGAACTCCAGCATTGATTTGGGCCTTAGGGTTGCTCAGTAGTTGAGGGGAGATATGTATAC